TTGTGTGACATCAGGCGCAAGTCATCGGTGAAATCCAGATCTTCTAGGTTCTTTTCCGCAGTCCAGCCAGCGTATCCCTCTCTTCTCGCTCCCCACTGTTTACTGCATGATCCAGTCGACCACTATCAGGAATATCATGGGTGATAGTAGGCAACCTTGTTTCACGGTGTTAGGTATATTATTAGAGAAATCACGGATATTGAGTTGTTCATATCGGTCACAATTCGTTTGTTTATTAACAGGTTGATAATATCACGCAGGTGGAGGTCAGGAGATTTTCTCAGATAGTTGTTTAATCTTAGTATGTGACCCCAGCACAGTGCACACCCATCTGGGAACTGAATCATTAGTCAGTGCTGTTTAGTAACTTGCTTCGAAATGTGAGATGTCTCAAAGTTCTAATGAGAACTCATGACCTGTGGATCAAACCAAGACGGATGTGACAACAGATACTGAATTATGGGATGGGATGAATATCATATGAAGAGCGAGAAGGTGGGTATATGCTGTCTGACCGATGAAAAGACTCTAAATGACTTATGTCTAATGTCGCGCAAACTCGAAGATCTACAGGTGAGAACTAACAAGTTGATAGGAGAGGTGAGTCGAGGCAGCGAAGATGGGACTTCCTTCAGGTGAACGTAGAGAAGGAAAAGAAGACAGAGGTGATGAAGATACCCAACCAACAACAACAAGCACGTATAAGTAATAAGGAAGTCTGGCCTGGCAAAGAACCAACCAACTAAGAACCAGTCACCCAACAAATACACAAAAGAAAATGGAGGTGGATTATATTGTATTGGACATACACTGAGAAGACGGTTTGGGGACATCACGCACCAGGCCATGTCGTCGAGTGGAAGCCAAATGGGAAACGACGAGTTGCGCATCCGACGGTGATATGGAGGAGATAGTGTGAGGAAGAGATGAAAACTTCTGTGCAATGGTGGAGCCAGGTTTGGAAGAGTGCAGAGAAGGGAGTGAGATGGCGGCGTGGTACCGAAGCCCTATATTCCCCTCGGAACCCAAAGGACCAGTAATAATGATAATAATGAATATCATGAAAAAAACGTGAATTAGGAGAAGCAGTAAAATATGCATCACTGGATTCCTACTCAAAGAACCAATGGTGATATACACTCGAAGGAACCTGAGTGTCTTGAGTTCGATCTCTGCCCGGGTCATGAGTGCCCACTGCTGAGAAGCTGGATACTGATAAGAAATAGCTATGAAGTTTTCTGATGGTTTCAATGGTTATTCGATTCATCTCAGTCCGTGATAAATACCGCCTTCTTTAAGGAACTACCTCTTAGTTACACCTTCATCATTCAGCTTAAATTCAAGGAATTGTTCTACACACTAAAGGAAGGCATGCCAACAGGGTCATCTGTTGGTCCACTTCTAACTGTCTTTCTCATGGCTTCTCTTAAAAAATGTGCCCATAATGCATGAATTCGTCAACCATCAGCTCTTTTACGATATGGAATTTGATTTACCTGACCTCCTTAACACTTTTAATGCTATTCATTCATATATGAAGTTGACGCTAAAATGTAGAACAGTTCTAATGTCCTCATTACTGACTGGTTATTAAAGCTGTGGGAAAGAAGTAATAGCTATTTTTCATTAGCTGGTAGTTATGTTCTGAAAGTACTGTACTGAAAATATTAGAGTGTTAGATGGTAGAAATCAATCGCGATAGGCAGCCCTACTTGTCATGAATTTCATGTTTCCCGGCAGTTATCATCAATCTAGGTGTATCTGCATTCATGAGGAGACTGAAGTTATCTGCATCGATCAATGCTAATTCATGTACTAGAAGTATTTACCAGTGGGTCATCAATATGAATATCTACCCCTCAATGGTTGCCACAAGTCGAAGGTAGATGATCACATTTAACAATGGGACCAGTAAATATTCACTCAATAGTCTTCTAAGGATTGTCACCTAGTGTTTTTAAATCTCCTAAGTTTAGTTTTGACTTGGAAATATGTACCACTAAACAGCAACTATTTTGCTTTATCTTTAAGGTGATTAATAGCTGTACAACAGGTTGGGCAGCTAACACGTTACCATTGAGCCATTGGGTCGGAATTCAATAGTTCATATTTCCTACCAGTGCGGTCAACAAACTCAAACATGAGGACAATTACCAAAACGACGACATTGGATGGAGGTTGCACTGTATCGTGAACTAATAGAAGTAGGAAATATACACCATTGTATTCCAACCCAGTGGCCTAATGATAACGTGTTACCCATGGAGCCTCAAGTTCATGGTTTTGATCCCTAGTGAGGGAGGGTGTCGTTGTTGCACCCTGCTGAGGAGTGAGCACAGGTCTCCAATGATCCTTCAACTGATGTCAGTACATGATAAATTCCAACCTAAAATCAATTTCAGTAATATTTTAAGATTTTGTTTAAAATAAATATTATTCAACATAATTCACAATGGGAAGCTCAGTGATGCCTTCGAAGTGAAGACAGGAGTGAGACAAGGCTGTCTACTATCACCCATGATATTCCTGATTGTGGTCATTTGGACCATGCAACAAACAGTGAGGAGCGAGAAGAGGGAGATACGCTGGACCGCAGAAAAGAACCTAGATGATTTTTACTTCGTCCATGACTTGTGTCTAATATCACACAAACTTGAAGATGTACAGGCAAAAAGTAACAAGTTGACAGAAGAGGTAGAGCAAGGCAGCGAGGGGAGACAGGACATAATTCAAGTGAACGTAGAGAAGACAGAGGTGATGAAGATAACCAACCGACACCACCACCACCACCATCAACAACAACAAGCTCCAATCTCCATCAATGGGAGAAACTAAAAGGAAGTAGTTCGTTTCACCTACCTAAGCAAGGCAGCATCGTTTCAACTACAGGCGGCACAGGCACACACGAGGATGTCAAATCAGCCAGGATAGGAAAGACAGCAAGATAGGCGTTGATTAACCTGAAAGCAGTATGGGGATCTACTGCACTGCACTGCACTCAGCATAAAGCGTGAACAACATCCAGATTTTCAACACGAATTCAGTCAAGTGAGTCAGTGCTTCTATGTGATGGATGGTTGAGAGACGTGGTACGTTACGAAAGGCATTGCCAATGGACTACAGGTATTCATGAACAACTACGTAGTCTGGCTCGTTACTGAAGACTAGATGAGAAGGCCAGAGTAATAAGAATAAGCAAGAAAGAAGTTTGGCTGGCTGGCTGGCTGGCTGGCTGGCTGGCTGGCTGGCTGGCTGGCTGGCTGGCTGGCTGGCTGGCTGGCTGGCTGGCTGGCTGGCTGGCTGGCTGGCTGGCTGGCTGGCTGGCTGGCTGGCTGGCTGGCTGGCTGGCTGGCAACGAACCAAGGAAGCAAGAGGCTATCGCTCAACCAATATGCAGAGGAAGAGGATGTGGATGGATTGTATTGGGCATACACTGAGAAGGCCGATCGGGGACATGAGGTGTGAGGCCAAGCACTGGAGTGGAAGGGAAGGGAAATGGGAAACGGCGAATTGGGCATCGGAGTTGAGGGTGAGATGGTGGAGATGGTGTTAGGAAGAAATGAGAGGTAGTGGGTAGTTGTGGAGCCAGGTTGAAAAGATTGTAGAGAAGAGAGTGGAATGGAGACGTGTTAGTGAGGGGGTATGTTCTACTAGGAACCCACGGGACAAATAAGAACAATAATAATTTTAAGGTGACCTAGGCACTTCTTTGAAAGGACAACGTCATCGAAATACAGAAAAAGGTAGGGAAATAAACCAAACAAACTTTGACAGGAATATACAAACATATTCGCATTATCCTCTAGTTAGATGTGTCATAGAGAAAAAAAATGAATAAAATGAAGCGTGAAGCGAGAAGGTGAAAATGAACACAGATCATCTGCTTACTTAAATAACCATTTCAGTAGTATTCAAGATTACAAGTCACTGGTATACACTAACCTTTAAATCACCCTAGAAATCATTATAAAGTGATGTTTTTCAAAGGCAGAAGTAAACTAAAAGAGAAATAAAGGGGAGGTAAACCAAAATATCCCATTGGAAGAAACAAAGAGAGTGTTTTGTATAATGAAGCAAAGTAACTTGAGAAAAATTAGATTAGGGAAGACATTAACCAAGAAGAAAGATAAACCATCAGTTCAGTGATGAACAAAGTGGATGAAAACGTGAATAATTCATGGGATAAAGAGTTTTTTTTCACGAAATCTTTAGCTGCATTCCTTTACCTCAATACATTACGTAATCGAGGGATATCTCCTTAAAACAAAACAAGTTGAGAACGTTTCTGTGCTTTGATACACTCATCATTGTTAGCGGTAATACCGTTGAAGTGAATGCGCATCTATACTAGGACATCGAGACGCTGATTTGTCATACTTTTTTCCCTTCTTCTTTCATTAAACCATACAGGTGTTTATAGTCACTGCAAAAGATGTAAAAAAAAATCATTGAACTGTTACTATCACTGATGTCTATACAAACTGTCTAAAATAGCTCTAGTTTGGCAGACTAATATTTGTACTAGGTGGTGATTGAAGGTGAGATGAAAATCTAGACTGTGGCTGGATTTGAACCAACAACCACCTGGTTACTGGTTTGTAGCTCAGTTGATGGAGCACCAGGCTGGTGGTAACCCACTGGTCACTGGTTTGAATCCGGCCAAGGTCAAGATTTTCATCTCATATTCAATCATCACCCAGTACAAATGAATTAGTGTTATCTATTGAAGAATAATCTTATTGTTTACACCTGTAAATGATATTCAGGTTCACCTTGTGTACACTTTCCTCTCCTCATTTTGTATAAGAGAATAGCTTATTTTCATTGGTTTTTTAGCGTTGAATACTCTTTTTATTATAGCATACTGTTGAATAAATGATTTCACTTTATCATTTAATTCATTCTCTGAAGTATTCATAATCACTTGATACAATTTCATTTCATACTGATTATGTTGAAACTTTGTAATTGTATTATTGTATTGATAAGATCTTTTATGAAACACTAACAATAACTTCTTTGTCTTCTTTTTATCTTGTTGAAACTTTTCTTTCAATTTGAGAGATTTATCGACTTGGTTTATTTTTATAAATTGTTTACATTTTACTATAGATCTGAATTTTGATATATATTATCAAGCTTGACTACAACATTTGACCTATGACTAGAGTTTACAATGAATGAATCAGGGGGAGTAGATGAATAAAGTATCATTCTATCCTGTATATGATTTTTATTAGAAAGTAAACATATTTCATTTAATTGACAAGGAGTATCTATGTCATCTTTGAAATTCTTATGTTTATTGTTATGATGAAAAACATGTGAAATAGTTGATATTGTATTTTGAGGAACAATACTGATTTTTAGTTTCGTTTGTAGTTCATTTGTATATCTTTGATCCAAGTGTACTGTTGTATCATTTATAATATATCTAGCTTGATTGAATATTGATTCTGATTTCATTGTTATTCTCAAATCTTGAATACTGTAACCATTTTGTAATTCTCTATATGTTATCTCTTCATATAAATGATAATTTGGAGAAGATTGTATCAATAATCTTTGTGAATGATTTAATCGAATAGTTTGTAGTTTAATTAGATCGCTATAAAATCTGTATGATTTCGATTTCATTCTTTCACTTACCATGTAGAATAGATAATTAACCTTTTTATTAATGTGTAATATTCTCTTACAATGATTCTTAATCTCATGATTATGTAATACAAGTTGAATACATGAAAATGATGTTAAATTTAACCGTAGATTACCTGATTTCAGTCTATCTAGATGAATATTATATGTACCTTGTTGGATTGAAGGATTCAAGTTAAGCATAGAAATTTCATGAATTTCGTCTACAAATTCATCTTCTAAATGTTTATTCAATGGTTCGTATTGACACTTATTTTCTTGTGCTACTGATAAAAAATTAGTAGTATAACTATGAAACTCTTCAAAAATATCGAAAATTGTGTCATTATCTTTTAAAAGTATCATGAAATGACTATGAGTAGTTCTTGAATATTTTCCCAACAAATATCGATAAATATTTAGTTTAATAGAAGGTTTCAAATCATGCATAAAATAAATCTGAGAATATATTAACTCTTCAGGGTATGGTTTATCGTTTCTATGCATATTAGGATGAGAAAATTTAACAGAGTTCTTATTAGTTTGTACTATAGATATGTTGTTTGAAAGGAGAAGATAAATGATTCCTTTTTGCAACATTACACCGTCATTATCGATATTCTCCTTTACTATAGTTACAGGAACTTTATTTATCTGTGAGTTTCTTAATGAATCCCTCCTAGGTTTCTCGATGGTATCTTTCCGTGTGGTTTCACAGTTCTTTTGTAGTCCGTTAATAAGAATAATTTGCATCTCTGATGTATTGGATGTTAATAATGTGATGTTTTCATGAATATTTTGAGTATTCAATTTATCTACTTCTCTATCAAATTTTTGTGAAATTATTGTAACACTGTTGTACATAGTTTCATCATTACCACAATGCTTCAATGTGATATGATCTTTGTATATTTCGTCATTAGATCGATCTATATGACCACTTTTTGATGGGATAACTGTAAACATTCTACTTTGGGATAGTGGAAATATTTTTCTATACGATTGTACTGTCGACCATTTACTAGAGATATGAGTACAACATTCAATATCTACCTGATTTGGGTTAATTAACAATGTTTTATCTACGGTTTCTATTGTAGGAATGTTGGTAACAGACTTCTGTAAGAATACTGTTGTATTATAGTCTGTTTGATCAGTACTCATATATGATTTCTCATTATTTATCTTATTTTTTCTATATAATGAAGGATAGAATATCATTTTAGAGCATTTTTGCTGACAAAAACTATCAGATGAGTAAGAAGTTGAACCATCTTGAGATTTACTTCCAACATGGTTTTCTATGAAGAGTTTTAATCGTTGAATAGGATGTTCAATGTTTAAATGAAATTTATCATATCCCCTCAAAGTTTTCTTATCTTATCTATTAGAAAAATATTTTATACTACAATATTCCATATCAATTATCTTTACCAGTATAGATGGTAAACAGTCACTATTTAGATCCTCATCATTGATTATCATACTATCTAATATTTTAAAGTATTGTTCTTGATTTTTCAAGGTACATTGATGATACAAATGTTTATCATTATCACCAAAATTCAATGTACAAGGGATCCAGTATATGAATGAAATTGTTGTTGGTTTTATTATATACACTGGGATAAACCATTTATACGATTTATCTACATTTATCGATTTGTAAGTTGTCTTTGAAAAGGTTGAACACTTCCATAACTCTAAAAATTCAAGATGATATCTACCTGATGAATATCTGGATGTATTTTGATCCAAATATTTTTGAAAAGTTATTTGGTTAGTGAAATTTAAGAATCTTTTAATAGTTTGATAATTCAACATGAAATCTTTTCCACTATATCCAACTGAATGACTTTGATACTTCAAATGTTCTTTACTACGAAACTTTTTAACCAGTTGACTAGTTTCATAAGTGTTCCACTTTCTTCTTAAATGATATGACATAATAGTGATATTACTGTTAAATATTTATGCTTTATTAACTCATCGTTCATTGATGAATAGCAATGATATACTCAGTATGAATTCATGTTCATTATTATTACGATGACTATCGAAACAAAGAATAATGAAATGACTACTTGCTCACTTAGTGACCTATGATCTTCGATCCAATTACATTTAAAACGAGTAATACACATATGACTGCCCATAAATCAAGATATCCACGTGATCTAACACAGAGTTAGTACAACGGTTTTACCTGAATTGATGGTCACTTGAAAAATAGCCTTCAAATTCCATCACTTGACGGTTCCTCAATCAATGAAAATTGTAGTATATATACAACAGTCTTGACTATTTTTAGGATCTTCTAAAATATCCTATCCTATTGATTTTTGCCTGTTCAACTAATCTGATATTTACACATTGGTTCATGTACTACTTTGCCTGAAAACTTCAATACAACATGATTAGTTGTGATTTGGGAGCTTTTCTTTTCCAGTTTCCTTGTGAATATTTTCAATCATTCCATAAATAAACAAGCCTTCTACATGCTTATTTACCTGAAATATGCTTGGAAGTGCAATGAAACATTAAAAAAAACAATGAAATCTGGGAGATCTTAACGGTTGTTTTGTTTATCTGTGGGAATATTCGGCAGTGTGTGTACACATGATCCCATCACAGGTGGAACTCATGACTTTCAGACTTTATGTTGAGCACATTACCTACCATTGATTCATTGAATTGGATAAGTAATCTGTGAACTTTCTAAAGAGAAATTGTTGATTTAGTTCAACTACCTGATACACAGTAATGAATGAAGATTGAAAAAGCAAGACACGTCTTCCTTCATCAATCTGAAATCAGTATGGAGATCCACCTCACTGCACTGCACTGCACTCAGCATAAACAGCAAGATCTGTTTCTTCAACACTATTTCAGTCAAGTAAATCAGTGCTTCCATGTGATGGTTGGGAGACTTAGCGCCTTACTTAAAGCATATCCAACAAACTGCAGACATAATGAACAGCTGTCGCCTACACGCACTCGATACTGAAGGTCGGATGAGATAAGATGAGATGAGAAGGCGAGAAATAATAAGCAAGAAGGAACTCTGGTAGTGAAGGAACCAAGCAATGAAGCAGGAAGCTATCACCCAACAAATATGCAGAGGAAGTGCCGAATAAGTACATCACTTTGTTGAAGGCTCTCTAACCGAACACCTGAGGGCGTGTTAGAGCTTATGGTGAGATGTCAGGCGAGCTGTACTCATCGACTGGTGTCCGTCAAGGATGCCCACTCTCTCTATTCTTATTCATTTTCATCATAGATACTCTTATGGAGGTCTCCATCTCGTCACCAGGTTACACAGACGTTGACCTAATCACAGGAGAATTTTCCTTAGACCTAGAATATGTAGATGACATTGTCCTGTTAGTCCTGTGAAGACGCTGAAAAGATTTAGAGTCTTCTGAACACTTTGAGTGAGAATTTAAGAGTGTTTGGGATGTGTTTCTCATCACCCAAATGCAGATTGTTGCTCCAGAATTGGTGTTCAACGATGCCATGGCTAACAATAGAGAGTGTAGTGGTTGAATGTGTTGACCACTTCACTTACCTGGGAAGTAGGATCAGCCCTGCCTCATGGCTCAGTGGCCGATGAAATCTCTGCACGGATACAAAAGGCTGGATTGGCTTTTGCTAAATTACGCCACCTGTGGTGCCGCCGTGACATCCGATTGTCTATGGAGCGTCGAATGTACTGCACAGCAGTCCGGTCTGTTCTACTGTATGGTTGTGAACAATGGCCATTGAAGGTGGAAGACATGAGAAGGCTAGCTTCATGTGTTTGACCTCCGTTGCCTTCGTAGTGTAGGCCGTATTCCGTGGTATCACCACGTGATTAACGCAGAAGTCAGGAGTAGAGTTGTAGGGAGAAGAGGTAAGTTGGTTGACCAGGTTGTGAACCTTGATGGACTGAGATGGCTGGTTGGAACACGTACTACATGTGCCTAGTCACTGATTGCCTCGTCACACAATGTTAGCTGAAGTAGATTAAAACTAGAAAAAGGCTCGAGGTGGCCAGACTAAAACATGGTACCAATGCATGAAGTCTCTGACTGTTGGTTTGAGCCATGTGGGGAAATGCAGACTAGGTGGTTGGGGTCCGTGGGACAAGAAAACCAGTGGTTGGAGACTCTAGGTGATGTGGCTCAGAACCGATGTCAGTGGTGCAGATGTATCCCCACACAGATTATCCTCATCTTAACTATGTTAAGCCAAATCTCACCACCTTCTCATTCTTTGTTTTTCTCTTTTCGTACTTTATATTTCTTTTGACTGCATTCTCTTATCTTCATCTCCCGCCTCACTGTCTTTTTACTTGATACACTGATATGAGGTGTGGCAACCCGGACCATTGCGCAGTAATGCCCGGTGCTAGGTTGATCTGGATGTATTGGATTGGATTGGACATATTGTGAGAAGACGGTTTTGGACATGACTCATCAGGCCAGGTCGTCGAGTGGAAGCCGGATGCGAAAGTATGAGTTGGGTGTCCCAGCTGATGGTGACATGGAGGAGATGATGTGAGTAAGAAGTGCAAGCTGATGGGTAATGGTGTAGCCAGGTCTGGAAGACTGCAGTGAAAAGAGTGAAATGGTGTTATGTTCCACTAGGAACCCAAGGGATAAATAATAACAATAATATACCGAAGATATCAAAGTGCACTAGGTCAAGCGTAAAATCTCTTATCGTGATTGGCTGTATGAAGGACGATACTGTCCAGCCAGTTTGTATCCTGACCGCACGGTTGTATAGATGAAAATTCTAAATTCAAAGATTCCCCTTCTCATTGGTCGATTACTTAAAGTATTGATTTCTCTAATAACTGCTCTGTACCAGATACACCTCCCACCTCTTCAGCGTTAACTAGTTGTCACTGTCGTGAAATTACGCTTCTTTCATAATCGGCGAAAAAAATCTCCAAAAGGTTTCCAGATAACCGTTTTGTCCGTACATACTGATGAAAGCTAGTAACTGTTAGTCAAATCTAGGGCATGCGTTTCGTTCTTCTCAAAACTCATCAGCTAGATTTATTGCATCCGGATGAGTGATAATACATACAGTAGGACTTTATAGTGTCATCCAATAGTCTACTGAGCCACTGTATATAATTACTTCAGTCAGCCTAATACTGAATTTAAATTGTTTCCTGAGTTAAAGGCTACTTATACATATTCATTAATTTACCTTATAGTTGATATTATCATTGTAGGCAGTTTTCGAATATCCTTTTTTCGATATACTTGACTTCGGCAGACGGCCTGTATAACGACGCAAAATTACAAGTGTCATAACAACAACGGGTACTTCTTTCACGAGAGATAGCTAATGTGTCGTAGTGCCTTTATGGGAAACACTTTGGTGTTTGGAGTCTCAGTACGGACAACACCATTCACTGGGGTGTACGTACGTCCGGCTGACGAATACAGAGTGGGACGAAACGCCTCCTAGATTTCTTTACTAGTCATCTATATGAACATGGGGATTAAAATATTCTGTTAATCATTAACAAAGTGGTTAAAAATGCTTCCTGTTTTGACCCCCGGAACCCTTTCACACACACATACACTTCCTCAGCAGACAACACAGATACTGACAACCAAAACTATCAAGCAAATTGCATGTTTTCCTCATTGTTATTATCATTTTTATGAATACTCATCAGTGACATGTACATTCAAAATTTAATTCTGTTATCCGTAATCATATCAAATGTCCATGTTACATCATTTACTTCCGATTCCAGTTTCAGGATCAACGGTATCAATGTACTCCTGGTTACTTTCTAGCTAAGAATATTTTTCAGAAAATGTAAACCATTGGAATTTAGCATGATCAAGGTGAGATGAATATGCACTGTTGACCAATCTATTACTAGGAAGAATCAACAGTTCAATGGTTCCAGATCTTCAATGACTCTTCATGATGAAAAATACTTTAATCAGTTTAGTAAAGATTATTTCATGTGGTCAATTCGAAATTTTCATTGAGTGATCTGTTAAATTTCTTCTCAAATGATACAAGATCTCAGGCATTTCTTTTAAAATTTGATTCAGTTATCTTGTCAGTTTGCCTTAGGAGAAGATAGTAAGGTCCACTATTCATTATTGAAATTATTATCACTGGTTCGAATCCGACTGCGGTTCACATTTTCATCTCACCTTCAATCATCACCCAGTATATTATAAAATCATTTGAAAGTTACTAGCTTGAAACATGGGAAGAGATCAACACAGATGAAACCAATAAAAGATGATGAAGGAAGTCTAATTATCAAAGAAGAAAAACAAAGGAAATCACTTCAAAAAGCTCTTGAATAGACCACCACCTGCACTTCGTCCAGAAATACCACCTACAGCCACAGAACTACAAGTAAACACAAGCCCTCCGACGAAAGTCGAAGTCCTGAGCGTCATAAAGCTACTGAAATGCGGGAAAGCAGCAGGACCAGATGGAATCCCGCCAGAAGCACTGAGAAAAGACGCCGAGACAGCAGCGGAAATGTTGCCCATCACTATTGCAGACGGTCTGGAAGGAAGGGAAGGTAACTGGCGATTGGAAGAAGTGCTACTTTGTCAAACTCCCGAAGAAGGGAGATCTAAGCCTTTGCAAGAACTGGAGAGGAATCATGCTTCACCACTGTCCACCCCAAGCAAAATATTAAGCAGTATCATCCTGGAGAGACTAAAGTATGCGCTGGATTCAAAACTACGACCGGCACAGGCTGACTGGATTCAGGAAGAATAAATCATGTGCGGACCAAATTGCAACGCTACGGTACGCATCATCATAGAACAGAGTATAGAATGACAGTCAACCATCTACCTCAACTTCATCCACTTTGAAAAGGCCTTCGGTCGAGGCGTTGATCAAGAAGTAATTTGGTAGCTGCTTCAACACTGCGGTTTTAGTGCCACAAACCTCCATCAACC